GGTTTTGCTATAGAGCCATCGGATGGCTGGACTTATAGAGTCATCTGTAGTCATTCACAAATGGTACATTGACACGTGTCATGCATTAAATACATATTAGACATGTATCAATACATAAAGTTATGAATGACTCCATAAAGGAACCATCCGATGACTCCATATATATAATTTCTATATGACTCAATTACTACATGATATAAAATTTATTTTGTTTTGGAACTCCAAAAATCAAACTAGTTAATTGTTTAAAAAATTAAAACATTATGTTTGGTGAATGTTTTTTTTTTTTTTTTTGGTTTCAATATGTTCACAAGATGACAGACATGACAACGCAAACAAAGACAAAAACAAGTAAATGGCACATCTAAAAACAAAATATTATCTATAATTCTAGTGGTAGGATAGAATGAGATTTTATTATAAACAAACAATTGTAGTTCAAAATTTTGACCAAGGTGAAGGGAAATGTCAACTTTGCTTTTTTTATTCAAAAAATTGTTGTTGGTAATGCATAATAATGGAGTTGGTTATATACCACCACTACTAATTTAAATTAAGGAAATTATTTGAAATGTAGGGATGAGTTTAGTATTTTAATTAAATGATTGTAAAATCCTTAATTGATTAGAGGGGTATTTATCAATTACACGCATCTTGCATGGATATATTATTTAAAATCATGAAATGTCAAATCCTCACAAACTAGAAGTGGCACAGGATCTGCTTTAATTAATTTGACCTTTCATTTTTGTTCTCGTTTATTTTTAACAATTAATTATGCATAGTTTTCTATTAAAACGTTGGCTAATTTGTGTATGGATATCTTAAGATGGAGAAATCCTACGGTCTTGTTACAGAATCATTCTGTCGGAATTTGTAACCGTCAGATCATTATGTAACCGTCGGGGATAGTTGATCTAACGGTTCATTACAGAAACATTCCGTCAGGATTTGTAACTGTCAGATTATTATGTAACTATCGGGGATAGTTGATCTAACGGTTACGAACCCCGACGGAATGATTGTAGCATTTTCCCTTAAGATGAAGCAATATTGTTTTTTTTTTCTTTTTTTTTTCAGCGACAACAACATTCAATATAACTCAAAAAAGTCTTACACCCGGATTACCAACTGGTAACATAAACAAAGACAGTTGTATCCAATTGCACCCCTTCTACAACAAACAACCGAAAAAAAAACACGAACCAAACAAAAAGACCCCACTACTAAAAACCATCTACCACAAAGCCACAAGAAAGAACCAACTACAAATCAACACCTAAAAACCGACAAGACAACAACCAGGAGAAATAAAAACAACATTAGACTATAAAAATGCAGGAGGAAAAGGAATGAGCCAACTCCAATATGTCTGCTGCAATGGTATTATAGCAAGCTGCAAACTGAAGTGAAGACTTGTTAAGCTTTGTGACTAGGCCTTTGCTTTTGATTTTACATCTGCTAACCTGCCATCCACAGTGAATGGCCTTCAGCAGGGCCCATCTCAAAGTTGTGAGTTCCATACCCTCTTTGCAGTCATTATACCTGATTGTATCAATCCATTGTATGGAGTCCTCTCCCTCATGTTCTGCCAAACACTCCATATTCACTTGATCCTCAGAAGAGATTTTGGCACTAACACTGAGAGACCAGTGTCCTACCACCTGGGAAAAATTCTCCTCCTGATCAGATGAAACTTGAGGGCCTAGCAGCAATTTGGTGTGACCCTTGGCCTTAGACTGACTCCCTTCAAACTCCAACCATTCTTCTCTGGCGCCCTCAGCAATGAGTCTCTCACTAGTCCTTTTGTTTTGAAAAATCCAAACATTTCGTGTCTTCTAAAGCCACCATAGTATATAAGATGAAAGGCTGGCTCTGGCTATGATGCTCTCTTCTTGCTTGGCACTGCAAATGCTACCCCACCAGTCTCTGAATGATAAGTTTTGCACACTAAAAGAGTCCCAAGACACTCTACTCAGTTTCCACACCAGTTTAGCTCTGTCACAATGAAGCAATATGTAGTCTGTATCTTCAGCAGCCATACCACAGAGGGAGCAGGTGGCATCATCAGTCAACTTCCTCATCATCAGTTGATCTTTAGAGTGTATGAATCTGTGCCAGCATTTCCAAAGAAAATGCTTGATTTTATTTTTAATGGGAAGTTTCCAAGTAACAATCCAGACCCTACTCTCAACATTAGACCCCTTACTAGAACTAGATATCCCCTTACCCTGCCACAATTTAGACACAAAAGCTTCATAGGCTGACTTCACACTGAACTTCCCATAATTGCCAAACCACCAGTAAATCTTATCAGTCTACCTACCACAGAGATGGGAATTTTAAGCACAAGATCAGCATCCTCAGGCATGAAACATTTTCTAACTAAGTCTCTGTCCCAAATTCCCCTCTCAACATTCAGAAAATCACTAGCCCTGGTATTGATAGTCCTATCAACATGAGAAATACAGGTAGGAATGGGATTAAGATCCCTGGGGAGCCACAGATGGTCCCACACAGAAATGTTAGCCCCAATTCCTACTTGAAATCTAGCTTTCATCTTCAGATAACCCAGGACACTCACCCAACTCTTCCAAAGCCAGGAATTCCCATTTTTGGGTTTGACTTCAAAAAGGCTAATTCTATAAAAAAATATTTCACTCTAAGAACTCTACTGATAAACAAATTAGGATGTGTCATGAGTCTCCATAATTGTTTGACCAGAAGAGCAACATTGAGCAATTTCAGGTTCCTAAAGCCCAAC